AGGCCATAGTTCAGGCATTCTCTCTTTTCTTGCCACCATAATGTGAGCTTCCCTGCCGTGTGATGCTACCCCTACCACTATGGACTAAAACCTTTGAAGCCATGTGCCAAAATAAATCTTAATTTATTTATTTCAGGCATTTTGTCACAGGGAGGATAAATGTAACTAATATAGTGGTAAGAGCATAAATTCCAGAACTAGGCTGCAGAAATTCAAATTTCAACTATGATGTGTGAAATATGGAAAGTAATTTAATATCTAGAGCTTCAGTTACCTCATCTATACAATGGAATTAATAATATCTATTTCATAGGGATTTTTTGAAGACTAAATGAGTCAATGTATTGTATACAGTGTTTGGCAATATTATTATTGTTATTATTACGTGAAGTTTGAGTTGAAGTTAGCATTTGAGAGTTAAGAGGTAACAAACAGATGGGGCTTGCAGAATGTGAAAGTTTGGAGTTCTCACCACAGGGAAGAGAATAGAATGCTATGAGTAACACCAAGGCATAGCTGAGACTGGAAATGGATTTGAAGTTATAGTACACAGGGTTCAACAATTTTCTCCAGCTGTGTTTAGCACCTACTGGTCTAATGTTAGAGGAGGTAGATTATAAAATAATCTAGGAAGTTTAGTGGTATCCAACTTTAGTGGAGGGCTTATTAGGCCATGTATAAACATATCAATATGATTTCTTTATTATTGTTGTACTGGGGGTACATTGCAAAAATTTTCAAAAGTTCTTACAATATATCATAGTTGAGTTCACTCTCTCCACCATTCTTCTTTATCCCTCCTGCCCCCATTCCTGGAATAGCTTTAGCAGGTCTCATTTTTCCATTTACATATACATGAGTACATAATATTTCCCCCATGTTCACCCTCCTACACCCTTTCCTTATATCCTCTTCCTTCCCACTGGTACCAATCCCCCAGACAGGACCTGTTTTGCTTTCCTGTTCAATTTTTGGAAAAACGATGACATTTTTGTTTAAGGTGGCTATACAGGGAGTTTCATTGTGACATTTCCATGTACATATGGTAATTGGTTCATCCCCTCTATTTTTCTCCTTTCTACATCAGTCTTCTTCTTATGGTGATTTCAACAGATTTAAAAATTTTATATTCATTCTTGTATAAGAAGTACATCAGCCATATTTGCCTTCTTACCTTCTTTCTTTCACCCTCTCTCTCCTGTATGTGACCTTCCATTAGCATGACGTGTTTTTCAAAATATTGATTGTATTTGTATTGGGCCTGTGTTCCACATATGAGAGAAAACATGCAGACTTTGGCTTTCTGAACCTGGCTGACTTCACTTAAGATAATGTTCTCCAGTTCCACCCATTTACCTCCAAACAACAAAATTTTATTCTTCTTTATGGCTGAATAAAATTCCATCATATGCAAATACCACATTTTCTTAATCCATTCATCAGTTGTGGGGGCATCTTAGCTATTTTGATAGCTTAGCTATTGAGAAGAATGATGCACTAAACATTCTACATATAAGTTTGTATATGATCATGCTTGTTTTTGTGTGTATGTTTCTTTTGGATCTATCTTTCACATATGAAAGAAAACATGTGGCCTTCGTCTTTCTGAGCCTGGCTTACTTCACTTAACATGGTGTCCTCCAGTTGCATCCATTTACCTTCAAACCACATGTCATTGTTCCTTGTGGCTGAGTAAAACTCCATTGTGTATATATACCACATTTTCTTGATCCATTCATCAGTTGTAGGGCATCTGGGTTGTTTCCATAGCTTGGCTATTGTGAATAGTGCTGGAATGGAACTTTGTGGAACTCAGGGAAAGAGGGAAAGGAAAAGAGAATGATAGCGCATCAGTAATATCGTAAAACATAACATCTGTGAAGGTAAAGGATATAAAGATGTGTATTGAAAGCTATTGAAAAATGGGGGGTGGGGGGGTGTTTCTTTTCCCAATGACTAATGATGATGTGTACTTTTCATGTGCTTATTTGTCATTCTTATATTATCTTCAATAAAGTATCTAATCAAATTTTTGCCCATTTTAAATTGGGTGGTTTTCATTTTGTTAAGTTTTTAGAGTTCTTTATTATTTCCTTATCAAAAAAACAAATAACCTAATTAGGAATGAGCAAAAGATTTGAAGAGGTATTTCTCCAAAGATGTTTAAAATGATCAAAAAGCAACAGAGAAGATATTCAACAGAATTACCCATCAAAGGAAAGCAAATCAAAATCACAATGAGATAACACTTCTCACTCACTAGGATATCTAAAATAAAATTGATAAAAAGACAATAGCTGGAATTCATGAACAGATTGAAAAAAAAATGAAACCCTCATATTGATGTTTGTGGGAACACAAAATTATCCAGTTGCTGTGGCAATTTCTCAAATTGTTGAATATGAGTTACTATATAAACTAATAATTCCACCCCCAGGTATAAATCCAAGAGAAATGAAAATATAAATTCACAGAAAAACTTATCTGCACACTGTGGCTCATGCCTGTAATTCTAGCTTTTTGTGAGGCAGAGATCCAAATGATCACAGTTCGAGGCATCTCGTGCAAAAAGTTCACAAGATATCATCTCAGCTACTAAAAGCTGAGTGTGGTAGCGTGTGCCTGTCAACCCATCTATGGAGGAAGTGTAAATAAGAGGATCAAGATCCAGGCTGGCTTGGGCATGTACAGTGACACCTTATTCAAAAAATAACTAAAGTGAAAATGGTAGGTGGTATGGCACAAGTGGTAGAGAGTCTGCATAACAAGGGCAAGGCCTTGAGTTCAAACCCCAATACTGCAAAAACAAAACGAAACAAACAAAAAACTTGTACATGAATGTTGATAGCAATGTTTTATTTTGTAGTGTTGGTAATTATTTTCAATGGCCTCACATATACCAGGCAAGTGTTCTACCATTGAGGTACAACTCCAGTCCTTGATAGTGGTATTCAAAATAGCCCCAAAGTAAGAATGATCAAATGTCCATGAACTAATGAATGGATGAATAAAATAGAATATTCTTTGGAAATAAAAAGCAATTAAATACTGATATATAGCTGGGCATGGTACATACCTGTAATCTTAGCACTCAGAAGGCAGCGGCAGGAGGATCATAAATTAGAGGCCAGCCTAGGTTACAGAGGGAGACTTTGTTTAAAAAAATCCCTCAAAAGTACTGATATATGCTACAACATGGGTTGACTATGAAAGCATTATGCAAAATGAAAGAATCTAGTAACAAAATATATTATGTTGTATAATTCAGCTTGTATTAAATGTTCAAAACGATATAGAAAATAGCTTAGGTTGACAGGCATACCAGGTTTTTGTTGGTGGTGATGAATTGCTCTAAAATGGATCGTGGTGGTGGTTACAAAATTCTGTGACTATATTAAAAACATTGAATTGTACCCTTTAATTTTTATTTTTCTAGGCAATATTTTACTTATTGTTTATTAATTGTATGTATTTATATGTTACAACGTGATAATTCAGTGCATGTGTCCAATGTGTGATGACCAAATTAGGGCAGTTTGCAATTGGTAAATTGTATAGCATATGAACCATGTCAATAAAGCTGTTATAAAAAATTAATATGGCAGCAACTGGAAGTGAGGTTGGAGAGGTAAGGCTGGATGCAGAGAGACTTGTTAGGAAGTCTTGTAATAGTTTAGTAGAAAAAACAACCGTCTAAACTAGGGTAGGAGTAGTGGGAATTGCAAAGAGAAAGGGATATTTATATGATATATGACAGAGATAGAACCAATAAAGTTTGCTATTTGTTTGGATGTTGAATGGATGAAGAACACTAAAGTTTTGAGATGAGCAACAAGGAAAGAGTGGTGATATTATTTGTAAACAACTGCAGGTGCAGTTTGAGATAAAGAATTATTTTTCAAAGGAGGGAGGCTGGTTCATAATAATTACAAGTTTCTTTTTTTGTGTGTGCAGTGTTTGTGCATGTTAACCAAATATTCTACCACTGCACTACACCCTCTAGCCCAACAATTTCAGGTTTTGAGCTGCATCAGGACAATCCTTAAATGATGCCTTGTATCTAATTGAAAATTTGGTGTTGAAGCTTAGTGTCGAGGAACGTCTGGCTGGAAATATTTAAGATTTATTAAGACATAGGTCATAATTTATGTCAAAAAGGTGATAAAGCTTCCACAGAGAGAGTGTGGAAAGAAAAGAGAAGAAGGATGGATACAGAACCTCACAGAAACAGTTGCATTTAGAAACCTTAAAGCGACAGAGGTCAATATGAGAAAGGGATCAGGAACTAGTGAAAAGGCCAGTTAGAGATGAATCGACTTAGGATGTAACACATTTGTACATGGAAGCAATGCTAGGAAATCTCTCTGTATAGCTATCCTTATCTCAACTATCAAAAATGCTTTGTTTTCTTATTATTGCTTATGTTTTCTCTTCAAAAAATTAGAGATAAGGGCAGAACAGGTTCTGCCTGGACGCGAGGGGGGTGGGGGGAGAGAAAGGGGATGGGGGATAGGGGGGAGAAATGGCCCAAACAACGTATGCACATGTGAATAAATGAATTTAAAAAAAAGTAGACCAAAACAGTCCTCCAAAAAAAGGGTGGGGGAGGGGGAGGACATTATAAGCAGAGACAACAGTAGCAGGGCTGCCTTACTCACAGATTGAACCTGAGCATTTAAGGATGGGGAGAGTAGAAGACAGTGTTGAGGGTGTCCTAGGAGGGAGAAAAGAAAATGTCACTAAAATAAAGTGGAGACTGGTGTGGGAATGAGGTAGAAGGATCTTAAAGTTGTTGAGACTGTAGGACTGGTGAAGTGGTTCAAGTGGTAGAGTGCCTGCCTAGCAAGTGAGGCCCTGAGTTCAAACCTCAGTACCAACAAATAAATGCATAAAATAAAAAGGTGCTGAGACTGACTCACCATAGAATTTTCAGAGAGATGTGCAAGTTGAGAGAAATTTCTGACCTGGTCCAACTGGAAGTTTTTTATTACCCTTCCTAGGTGAGGTACTCACTTATCAATGGAACATCCCAGAGAGATCTGGCCCTGGACCCAATGACTCTGCTTGTGTTTCCTGGATCTATTATTCTTCAGTGGATCCCATTAAGGTAAAGACAAAATTGGATTTCTACAGAGGGGTCTCAGAAATTAGCAGACTACCTGCAAAAAAACAGGTCCAGTAAGAAACCTAGTCCTGGGATACTAGAAGGATAGTACTGAGATAGTCAAGAAGAGGGGTAAAGGTAATAGGTAGCACCAGATATTTATTCTGAGGATTTTCTTCCTTGTCTTTTCTTTTTTGTAATCTGTAAGGCAATAGGCTCTTATTTAAAACTTGTGGAAAGGAGGGAGGGGGGATATAGGAAAACAGTGGGGAGGAGTGAATTCAAGTGTGATATATTTGATACACTTAAGAACTTTTGTAAATCCCATAGCCTACCCCCACCCAGCACAATAATAAAAAATTAAGAATGTGATAGAAGTACTTCACATGCATACATGAAAATAGAATAATGAAACCCACTAAAAATTGTGAAATAAAAAGGGGACAGAGGGATAAGAAAGAGTAAATAAGGGGGTGAATTTGATCAAAGTGAAAAGTGTATGGACATATCACAATGAAACCCCTTTGTATAATTGATATACACTATTTTTAAAAGGGTCATCATTAATCCAATTAAATAAATCTCTTTTTCTTAAATAGAAAAAAAAACTATGAAAATAGTTGTCAGGAGAATGGGGTTCTAGTCCCAAATTTGGCTCTAGCTTTGGAGTGGCCTCAAGAAATTGATTCTACCTCTGTTTCCTTATTTGGAAAGTGGGTTTATCTTTCTAGCCACCCATTCATAGCAAGCCATCAATGATCAGGGAGGTGGAGAAGGTATCACAATGGAATGTACATGTACTGTGGGCTTTGAAATCTGAATAGTAGTATGTTACTAGATAATGGATATGATGGGAGGGGTATTGCAGGTAGAAAAAACAGTAAAAGGGTTGTGAAAGTACTTGGTGGTTTTGAAGATAAATGAATAGTTCAACATAACTCTCTGCTTCCTGACCACCATGTTGTGAGCACCAGTGATGTGCTACACTCTCCCCACCAAGGTGGACTGAAACCTCTGAAACCAGTCAAGAAACATGATCATCATCAGACCAAAAACTGAGACTAAACATCCAACACTGTCAACCCATGAAACCCATGACATCAAGATGTAGCTCCTGAAAGCTCTCTCCAATAAGCCTTCTTCATGCAGTTTTTCATCTCACAGTGTGCTTCTAGGGAACCCAATAAAAGATAGCTGGTACCACAAATATTCTAGGAACCAGAATCTAAAATGGGGGTTTTAGAATTGAGTTACATACCAACCAACTGACAATGACAACAGTATCATTAGTAGCAAAGAACAGACAAATGGAGGACCAGGTTCAAGATTTAAGCAGAAAAGTAGTGGAGTGTCTCACCAAGGATTTAATACCTGACAAGGGCCCCAGACATAGTGCTAATGAGAGCTCATAGAAGTTTGGTAAAAGTGTTGACTATACTAAATGAAGAAGTACCAGAATGGCCATGGCAGGTCATAGAGGAGAAGATTAAAAGATCCTAAGAAGACCCTTGATGAATAAGTCTCATGCATGTAAATATATTTTTTCTGCCACTTTATGCCAGCATGCAGTAGAGGTAGAGGTAGAGAGAGAGAGAAAGAGAGAGAAAGCAAGAGAGAGAGAGAGAGAGAGAGAGAGAGAGAGCGCCTTAAGGAAGAGAAAAGCTTTGTGGATTATTATTTTATTTGCTTTTTTTCCCCCTGTGCTGGGGATGCTAGGCAAGTGCTCTACCACTGAGTCTTGTGTTACATTACTGTTTTGTTTTGTTTGGCAATATTGCAGTTTGAACACAGAGCCTCATGCTTGTTAGGCAGAGGCTCTACCACTTGAACCACTTTACCATCCCTGATTACTGTTCTTGATAATCCTTCTCCCAGAGGTCTTAATGAGAAACTAAATCTTGAATGATAGAAATTATCTTGTTTTTCTTTCTGACCTTTCAACATTGTTTATAACCCCTCCCACAAAAAAACAAAACCTGTATATCTTGAAAAAGGTTTTCATTTCATTCATTTCAGTGTTATTTTTATGAAGGAAGATAGCATTTAGTCTTGATTCACTTTTTTTTCTGAATAATTATCAATCTTTTTGCATAGCTTTCCATTGAAATAATTAAGCAATATCAGAAATTCTCTGTTAAACAACATGTTGTGGGTCAAAAATTTATTTTAGGAATATATCATTCAAGTCTGTGTATATTTGTAGAAGGATATTCAGTATAGTATGTTTTTCAAATTCACTGTAACAAAAGACTGAAAAAAATGTAAAAAAACCCCAAAATGTAAGGGCCCATCTAGGGCATAATACCATTCATCCATATGAATACAATGGTTTTCATCCATATGAATACCATGTAACTGTTAAGAAGAGTGAGTTGGCTCCCAACATATAGACATAGGCTTACCTCTAAGACCTATTAAGGACAAAAAGTGAGGTGTAGAATAATTTATATAGCATACTATCATTTGTATAAAGATAAAGGAAATCTATACATATACACGTATGTGCTTACCTTTACATAGAGTATTTCTGGAAGAATGAACAAGAAGCACTTGCCAGTGGATAAATAGGAATGGGATACAAGTGATTCAGGATAGGAGATGATTTTACTATGGATTTTTTTGTCCTGTTTGACATTTTTCTCTTATCATGCACATGTGTCACATTTTCAAAAGAATAAAATAATAATAAAATATTTCTTAAAAATAATTCAACCTAGCTAAGGCATAGGTTAGATAGCACTTCTTATCTATGTCTCAAATGGTTGTGAGAATGAATTCAAATAACATAATAGGGTGCTTATAAATAGAAAACATTACAATGAAGCACTGAGGGGCACATTGTGCTTATTTGTGAGTCCACTTCCTGCAGAGCACCACCAGAGAGGACTAACCCCATCTCTTTCTCCTTTTCCTTTCTTCCTTTTCTCAGGACATGTATAGTGGCCTGGTGGGGCCCTTAGCCATTTGCCGGAAGGGTATCCTGGAACCCCATGGAAGACGGAGTGACATGGACCAGGAATTTGCCTTGTTATTTTTGATCTTTGATGAGAATCAATCTTGGTATCTGGAAGAGAATGTGGCAACCTATGGGCACCAAAAGCCAGACCATGTTAACCTGAAGGATGAGACTTTCTTGGAGAGCAATAAAATGCATGGTTTGTAGAAAAGAAGGTACCCCTATTCCAAAGAAGTCCCCACTGGTTGTAGAGGGTATCTGATAGGCCCGTCACTAAGGGAGCATAACCCCAGAATACATGGGAAGGTTGGAAGGTACAATGGGGATGAGTTAGAAGAAATATTTCCTATTTATTGTACATTTACATATTCAAAGCAGATATGTGATGCAGATTAGATCAGGTGCCCAGAAAGCAGCAAGTAAATACAATAAAGTTGTCATGGTGACACAAGCAAATTTTAATATATTAGAGAAGGCAGCAGGGACATTTATGGCCCTCTGTACCTCATGAGCTGACAGCTTAGGACTCCCCTGTTTCAAAATTCTGAGATTAGTTTCTCAATATAATGTTATTTCATTACTATGGACAAATGAAGGGCAACTTGTCTTTTAGTCTGTTTTTAAAACAAAGTTTCAATTTACAGATGGAATAATTAGAAAATAGAGACTCAGAGAGTAGCATACTGGGTTTATGTTACACGCAAGGAAGAACTTTTTGATTCTTCAATAGACTTTTTTGGGGGAAATTGTGCATCAAAGCCTTTTGCTCTAGAGATCTGGGTAGCTTTTCACAAACAAGTGAAAGTCTCAAGTAAAAGGGGAAGCTTAAGTGCAGTGGAATGTATGAAGTGATCTCTCACTACTTCTTCTAGCCCAAGATTTCTTTGATCTGAGAGTGAGGTGCAGCTTTGATAATGACTCTAATGGAACTCAAAAGTAGTATCCCATTGTCCCACAGATCCTAGCTATTTCCCATTGATGGAAAGATGAGTGATTCATATTAGAACAGATGATTCACAAAGTGAACTTTTTAGTTTCTATAAAATCAGAAAAATAAATGGCCCTGGACAAAAGGGAATAAGGTCACAGTTAGGTCCAGCTAATGCATGAGCTTGGCTAATGCCAAATGAAAGTGGTTTCATCTGTTTATGTGTCCATTCATCCAAACTCTTCAGGTATTAATCCACATACCTATCCATCTAGCAGGTATTTTTGAGCACTTTCTGAGTGCTGGCACTGGAGTTATAAAGGTAAATAACTTTGGAGTCAAAGGAAGTAAATAAATAATATTCTTTCCTTCTGGATTCTTGAACCAACTGAGAAAAAGAGATACTTAAGATCAAATGTGAACTTTGTTACTGAGAAGACTAATTGGAAAATTCAGTTGAGTCCTACAACTAAATGAGCTTGCTGATATTTCCCTTGCAATATATTTTGTACATTGTCATTGATATAAATGGGCAATAATAGCTCTCCTCCTTGACAGAGGCAGGATCTTACAAATAAAGAAATATGTGATCAAACTGGAGAGAGAGAGAGACAGAGAAAGAGAGAGAGAGACAGAGAGACAGAGAGACAAAGACAGAGAGAGAGAGAAGAGAAGAGAAAAGATCTAGAAGGAGCTAAGTTGAGCATCTCTTTCTGCCAAATTCACAATTTGGTGGGGGTAAACCAAGAGACAGGCTTCTATTATTTCCCTTCTTGAGGAGTCAAGTAGAAATTACTTTCCCTCTGTGAGAACATGAGAAGTGTGAGGAAATTGTTTGGGGTAAATTCCAGCAAGGATAATTTAATATAGCAGTGAGTAGTTTGATGTCTTTGACGCATAGGAGATGATAAGTTCCATGCATTGATATCATTACTAATTGCACAAATGTCTCAAGGATTTTTTTTCAGAGAGCATTTATTATAGGTTGAGGTATCTGATGGTTGTTTTGAACACAAGGAAGCTATAGTACTATTGTATATCCATTTATTCCCTGCTTACTAAATCTTGGCATGTAAGCTTTCGTAACTTAAAAGATAGGCAAACCTAGAAGGCAGCTCTTGGTAAGTGCCAAATGAATCATACAGATAGTATTGGAGAAGCTCAGGGGTGGAAAGTGATGTAAGGAATAAGGGATATGGAGAGGAATTTAAGAGATCAGGGAAGTTTTCTTGAGGGAGAAAAAATTTAGACGTTTTCAAAAGATGCGTAAAAGAAAGCAGGATTTCTGGGAGGAAATCTCAGAAATACAAGGACACAAAGAATATGCATAGACTATGTTGAAGATCATGAAGAAACTACCTTTGAAGGACTTTACTGGTAGAGCTATAGATCCATGGGCTTGCTCTTTGGGGAAGGAGAGCAATATTAAAATATTTTAAGGACCAGAATGACTAAATTGGTTAGTTATGGAAGAAAACTGATCATATTGATGTGGAAGACAGACTGGAGGGTGATAAATAGACTAGAGGTGAGGCAAAATAAGAGCCTATCATTAGAGATTATAGCAACCATACCTAGAGAAATGACAAAGGGGAGTCAAAAGGAGAGATGTGAGATACATTTTCTTCTTTTACAGCCATCAATGGGAAGCTCTATGCCAACCTCAAAGGTCTTACCATGTACCAAGGAGAACGAGTGGCCTGGTACATGCTGGCCATGGGCCAAGATATTGACATACACACTGTCCACTTCCATGCAGAGAGCTTCCTTTTTCGGGTGAGCTTGGAAAGATGGTTGAGTCCCTCAGGGATGATTTTAGGGGTGCGTTGAGAGCCATTGAGGAAGAAGGGAATAGCAAGGAATAAGGTAATAATAAGTTAAAAGAGCAAAGTCTAGCATATGGAGCATGGAGCTGGGAATTCTAGTTCACTATATATTCTAGGATCAGTCACTTCCTTCTAGGCCTTATTTTTCTCTTCTGATATAGGAAAGACTTGCTTGTTTATGGGGTAAAGAGCTGGAAGGAACCAACACTGCCAGGTCTCAATCAAGGTCTTGAGACTTAATGAGCAGCGATCCTACGAGCAAGACATTTCAGAGTGATATCTTAGAATCTCTGAAAGTACTTAATCCACTCCAAGAAGAGTTTTATTTCAGGACCTACATGGAACAAATATGTTAATTTTGAATAAGTACATTTAGCCTTAGAAAAAGAGCACTGAGTTGGAAGCATAGTTGGAGACTTAGAGATCTAAAAGTGCTGATGAAGGTCCTGGCAAGGAGGAAAAACTAACTGTAATTTATTTTTAAAGGAAACATGTAGCTACTTCACAAGGATCATGTCTTAAGCAAGATTCTCCAGATTTCAGTCTGCTGAAAGATATAGAAAGACTAGTTTTGAGTCCTGTAAAGGAATCTAATACCTTTTACTTTTACTTTTACTTTTACCTTTTACTTTGTGGCATTTTTTAAAAAGTTGATTTAGTTTGTGTGGGTGGATTCTAGGAGGTAGAAATACAATGGGCTTTTAAAGCTGTTGTTTATTCTAGGAATTTTGAAGTACTGTGTCCTTAATGTGAATGTCATAGACTTTTATTTTCTATAATTTCTGAGATGGTCATTGCACCTTTCATTTCCTCTCCCCTACCCTAATTTCCCGTGCAGAATGGACAGAGCTACCGGGCAGATGTGGTGGATTTGTTCCCAGGGACCTTTGAGGTTGTAGAGATGATTGCAAACAACCCTGGGACATGGCTGATGCACTGCCATGTGACTGACCATATCCATGCTGGCATGGAGACCCTCTTTACTGTCTTGTCTCAAAAAGGTAAGGCTTAATTTCCTAAGATGAATCATCCTCTGACATTTTAGCCTATAGGAACCAGATAATGCCAAGAAACTTCTTGCACCTTTCCTTTGATCATAAAAGAACCAGATTTTAACACAGAGTATGGCTTCCCTCTGCATTTTCCCCTAAAGCAATACTTTCTACCCTCCTTTCCCATCTTGAAACTTGCATCTCTCCTGATTACTTTTACACCTGTTGAAGTCACATGAGTTGACCCAGCCTGAAACTTGTTGGGATGTATGCCTAGTATAGTTTTTACCCTTTGAAATAAGCTTAATTTATACACAAATGAATTATTTAGAGTGCATGAGAAGTATTGACCATTTCAAGAACTATTGCTAGTGAGTCCTTTTTGGCTCAGTTTTCTTTTTCCCCCTATATGCCTAATTCTTTTTTGGCTCAATTTTCAATAAAAACTTTTAGGAGAGTGCCAACTCTTATGGGGTATGGCAGGAGTGGTCCAGGGCCCCTGGAGAGTGGCATAGGGATGGGGAAAACAGCAGATGCCCAGCTACTGAAAAGGCAGATGGTGACCCATGGTGATCTAGGCACTACCTGTCCTTTTGCAGCAGAGGCATCCATTGGCAGAGGACTTGAGCTCCTCTCTACCCCACTTGGAGTGGAATAAGCTGTTTCTGGCTTCCTTCTCTCCCTGTACTTCTTTCTTTCTCAGTTTGCTGGCCAACAGGTGGGCAGGCAGCAACCACCTCCTCCAACAACTACACCCACCTCCCTCCCCATGTGGAGGTCCAAATGTCATGAGTCCTTTTTTGTTTTGGTTTTGGTGCTGGGGATTGAACCCAGGGCCTAACACACACTAAGCATGCACTCTACCACTGAGTCACGCATCCAACCCCCGATGAGTCCTTTTTTAAAGAGAAGAGAAATGATTCTAATGGTTACCCCTTAACTAATTTGTTTTGTGAGGACCAAGAAAGGCAGTTCTTTTTTTCTGTCAAAGGCTACAATTACTGCTTATCCTACACAGAATTGATATGAAGGGTAGAAAAAATTTTTCTTAATGTTTTAAATATGGAGATAGCAATTATTTTACAAATCACCTTTATTCTTCACCAAGCATATGGAAGGGTAGGCTGTGTCAGCCTTCGTGTCTTTGGGTCATTAATAGGTTAAGTATCTCACATCTTGGTCCACTTGACTGAGTCTAGTCCCTTATATTATCCTCCTTCCAAGAAGTTCTATAGGGCCTTCTGGGACCCATAGGAATCAATGTCTTTTTTTTTCCTTAACTGTTTTTTTAAATGTCATGTTGCTGTGAAAATTGGTGGTATTGAAATGAGTATTCTGAGGTTGTCACTCACTGACACTTTATCAAAAGGAATAGAGAAGAGGAAAATATCTTTGACAATTTCAAACAGACTTAGGAAAGCAGGGTAGAAAATATAGCTCTGCTCTTTACCCCAGGGAAGGAGACAAATGATTGTACATGATTTCCTGTGTCATGAAAAAGTTTTTTTCTCTGGCAACCCATAATGCTAGAATGTAGCTTCCATATATTGCTCTAGTAATATTCCTTAGCACCCAGATGTATCATACCAGTCCATAGAGAACAAAAGTGATCAATTGATATCTCACCAAGGGTGCTATAGATTCAGAGCAATGCCATAAGGAGTCATTCCAAATATGAGCCATCCAAATTATGAGACTGTATCAATTTATATCATCAGAGCACTTGTATAAATAAGTATAGCTCATATCTTCCTATGACAATAATCCATCCCATGAATCCTAACCCATTTGCCTTTTTTGCTTATACCTCACTGTGTTTTAATTCCATATTTCTCTAATCCATATGTGTTAACAAGATAATTGCAAGGAAGAGTTGAAAATAGAGAGGAAAGGACTAATTAATAGAACAATGTTCTTGATGAAGCAGCAAGGGGTGAGAGCCAGAGCTAAGATGAAAGATTAGTGCAATGCTGAAGGAAGATCATCTTTCTACTATAAGAAGAGAGAAGGCAGGTTGGTGGAGGGTTTTGATAGATAGGTAGAGGATTTCTACCTGATGGTCTCTGTTTCCTTTGTGGTGAAGCACATGGAGTCATCTGCTAAGAGTGAAGGACTTGAGGAAAGTGGACAAAAGTTTGGAAGAGCTACTATGGGGCATCTGAAATAAAGTTATTATTGCCAGGTAGCACTGAAGGTTTAGTTGAAGTTGAACACAAAAATACTAATCTTTATAGTTGTGTGATTTTCTCTGGCAGCATTAGCATATCAGACAAAATACAGGGCAACTACCCTTATTGTGGTTTCAGTAGATAATTACAACACTCTTGTTAAATTAGGGCTTAGAGTGATAGACCATGGAGTCTAACCTGGCCAGGAATGGAGGAGAACACAGGATAAAGTTGGTATATTGAAAAAAGTAGAAAGAACTCAGGAACTAAAGGTCTAATGAGGAGAGAATAGCAAAGTTTTTGAATTAAAAGTAAAAGAGCACTGAAAAGGGAGGAAATTATTGTTAGATGTTGGATTTCTGAGGTGTGATGGCCTGGGTAACAAGTCCAGTGTGACTGTGGGAGTGGTTGATAGAGTTGGACTGGGCATGCAAGTCATGAGAAGTCCAGAAACTATGAGGATTGTGTGTTGGGGTCGACATTCAAGGGTTGACATGAGTCAACATTCATGATGAGAACTGAGGAAGACTAAGCTAGGAACCAAAGAACAAATGAAGATAACTGCTAGGTAAGAGCAACAAAAGCTGCTTGTGGTTTTGCTAGCCAAATAATATGACCCTCAAAAAAGATTGTTACTCACCCACGCACAGGAAATCAATGTGAGTCAATGCCCTGTATAGCTATCCTTATCTCAACCAGCAAAAACCCTTGTCCCTTCCTGTTATTGCTTATACTCTCTCTACAACAAAATTGGAAATAAGGGCAAAATAGTTTCTGCTGGGTATTGAGGGGGTGGGGGGGAAGGGGAGGGGCGGAGTGGGTGGTAAGGGAGGGTGTGGGGGCAGGGGGGAGAAATGAACCAAGCCTTGTATGCACATATGAATAATAAAAGAAAAAGGAAAAAAAAAGATTGTTACTAAAGGAGGAAAAATTATTGAAAAGCAGAATTCTGAGAGTGTAAATGTAGCACACACCTCAGAGAAGAGCTCAGATTCAAGCAAGAAAAGGGGAAATCTTCTGAGAAGAGATTGAGTTAGGGAAGTACGTTTGACAAGGATGAGTGGCCTTTTGAAAGGAAGGGGGAAATGTTGGAAAAGAAATAATATAATATTCAATGATAATGGGGTAATAGTGGGGATAGATGAAGTACCAAGAAACAAGTAAATAATGGCAAAAGGGTTACTTATAACTTGGTCTCTTAAGTCTGTGCTCATGCCCATAAATTGTGTTAACACTGAAGAAATTAACATACCAATATGTAGTTAATTCAACCTTCATTTTGCTTACTATATACCACAGAGAAATTCTCCTAACCAATGCCATCCTCCCATAGGGAACATATAGATCTGTAGAAAGAATAATAGGATTAACCTCTTGTCTTTCCCCACCTCCCCAGAACACTTAAGCACGATCACTACCAACACCCAAGAGATTGGAAAAGGTAGGTAGAATGATGAATAGACTGGGTTGTTAAATGTGGAGAAAAAGAGAGGGAGGGAGGGAGGGAGGGAGAGAGAGAGAGAGAATATGTGTGTGTGTATGTGTGTGATATCTTTAGCAGATGTGATACCTCTAGCATTACTGAAATGTGGGCATCATGGTACTAGCATCCTGAGATTTCTGTAAAACTTCAGAAGCCAGAGAACTAAGATTCAGCTTTCTTCAACATGTGCATTCCCTCTGGCTTCTACCCCAACCTCTGGAGCCAGGGAAAACAGTCTCATCTGCAGCTGGAGGCTGCTTTCTTAGCCTCCTACCTAATGTGTGAGGGATAAGAAAATTCTAAGTCCTACTGGGATAAGCATGAAAAAGTTGAAGCATAGACCTGGATTCCCACAGGGACGATGTGAGACTATCACAAGCACCAGACGTTCTTCAACAGCTATTTTTATTCTTACCTCTTTCTCCTTCATCTGTAGAATACCAACCACTTGAAATTTTGGACCCAACCATTTTTGTCCTTTAAGAAAACATTCTTTTTTTTTTTGGTGGTACTGGGATTTGAACTTGTACTTGCTGGGCAGCCACTCTACTGCTTGAGTCATGCTTCCAGCCTCTAAGAAAATAGATATTCTTTTCTTATGCAGCCTATATCCAAATAGTTCTTTCATTCTGTACCTCATTTGTCTCTAGTCAAGGAAATATGTGAGTTAAAAGGGACTCTAGGACCAGGCATGTTGGTACATGCCTGTAATCCCAGTACTTGGGAGGCAGGGAGGATTACAAATTTGAGGCCAGTCTGAGCTACATAGACACTGTTTCAAAAAACAACAACAAAAAAGGCAAAAACAAAACAAAAACCAGGACAGTAGAGAACATTTGTTTACTCTGTAGGTTTTCAGCTATACTGATAACCAGCTTCTCATGAGAAGTCCTAATGCTCCGCCTTTCTATTTCCTGAATGGTTCACCAGGGGACTTGGGGTTGTCCTGGAGAGACTGGGGAGAGTTAAGGTGAGGTTGAATGAGTGGGGCTTAAATTATACCTCCTTTAACCAACTCAATTATTTTATATATATATATATATAAATTATTATATATGTGTATATCAACATATCTAGACACATATATGGGTATGTGTACATATTTTATATTTGTATAAATGTGCATATATATTTTGTGTACATACATTTCTCATGAGCTTTCACTTATTAAAAAGGTTCTACAGTGGGGGAAAAATAATCCTCAAAACTGTTGGTCTAATAATACTCAATTATTTTCTACCTGAGAAGCTGAGAACTGACAAGTGATTTCTCCGAGGAATAAATGGGAGAATGTAAACTCAGAAACAGGATGTTTCACAGCTTCTGCTTGAACTTATTGCATTCTGTCTTCTCGTAGTTCTGTTAGAACATTCATTCATCCAATTACACATTCATCAAACAGGTGTCAAATACAAGGGATACAAAAACAAACAAGACATAGTTGCTACTTTCCAGTGTCTAAAAATGGAATGAAGCACAGAGAAAACAATTGCAATGCTGGATGCTATACATAGAAAGGGCAAATAATAACAGCTAACATTTATTGTGCATTTTCTACCTACCAGGTGCCATGTTAATATTTTAAAAGTGTTAACTCACTGAAAGCTGACAATAATCCTCTGTGTTAGTTATGGTCATTATCCCCATTTTATAAAAAGAGGAAACTGCAATCCAGATATGTTATTTCCCCACAATCACACAATGAATAGGTTGTAGGAGTGAAAGGAGAATAGGCACTTTGGGTCATAGAGGAAAGAACTATTAATTTTCCAACTGAATTGAAGAAAATTTTACAGAGACATGTAACATTTAAGCTGGAGCTAGGTCTGGGACTGTGGCTCAAGTGGTAGAGTGTCTGCCTGGTAAGTGAAAAACCCTGAGTTCAAACCCCAGTCCTAAAAAAACAATACATAAGGAAACAAAAAGCTAGAACTAGAGTGGCAAGAAGGAAGAAAGTATATTCAGGTAAAAGGAACAGCATGAGCAAAGACAGAAGCCTGACAGAGAATCATCTGTTATGGAGAATAAAGAATGAGTTGCCATGGTTAAAGAATAGCAGATGAGACTAGAAAGATAGGTTAGAGTCTGTGGGTGATTGAGTTATTTCTTCTTTCAGGAATTTCTCTTATTGTTTGGAATTCTATCCTCTTGGAACCACGTACACCAAATCCAATTTTTTTCTACATCACAGGTTTTTAGATATTTGAGGAAAGTGTCATGGCCTTCTTACTACTGCAAGTCTTAGGTCTTTCCATAGGTGGGCTGGGGCCTCAATGATTCCCAAGGAACCTTCCATCTGTGATATCTTGTTTCTCTGATTGTCTAATTTCTGAATCTGTCTTCATTAGCTGGTATTTTGAAGGTGAAGGACAGGTCTGGTATCCTAGTTGGATGGACTTGTTTCTTCAGGAGATAACTGCAAAAGGTGACCTTTTAGAGTACTTCCCATCCATCAGTACGTATTGTCCTCTTCCTCCATTTCAGCAGTGATCCTAAGAGACATTGGAGAAGGCAATGTGAGGATGCTGGGCATGCAGATCCCCATAAAGGATGTCGAGATTCTGGCTACTGTTTTGATTGCCGTGGGTATCATTCTTCTGCTTGTTGCTCTGACTCTTGGTGGTGTGGTCTGGTACCAGCATCGGCAAAGAAAGCTACGGCGCAACAGGAGGTCCATCCTGGATGATAGCTTCAAGCTTCTGTCTCTCAAACAGTAGTAGCTGGATCCTGGAGATCTCCTCAGGAAGCACATGTGGAAAGCACTCTCAGGCTCCCAGGATGCCATGGACTTGCAACTAACTGTACTGTCAAAAGGGCATGGGTGATGGAGAGGCAGAGGATACAATCAAAATTATTTGGGTATTTCATTTATTTATTTACATGGAAATTACATGCCGTCACTTTTTCTTTAGTTTCTTTGCTACACTCAGGCACCTGGAGTAGGTAAATCCCATAATACACTACACCACAAATTTCAACAGCTGTATTATATCACCCTTCAATTCTGGAAAATCTGGAAATTCCTAGAAACTGGTCCTTCTTATAAAGATGCAAAGAAAAAACTCATTAGTTAGGTTTCTATTTCTTTCCAGGACCTAGGCAAGTTCACTTTGAACTGAGACTAAAGACAAAGCATATAAGCATGATGGGGAATTGGAGGCAGGGTGGGAATTGAACATGCAAATTAGATTTTGATTTTCCTTGGCAGTGGACTATTTTGGAGAAGTGAGTGGACGGGTTGTTGCTGCCATGAGAACCTATAACCTTTGGAACCAGAAAAACCTCATGAAGCCAGTACTTCAAGTTCTTACACAGTGGTACTGAAGGGAATGTTGAGTGGCCTCAACATGTTCAAGGCACCAAATCCTATCCATTAAAGTACTTGTTAGAACAATGAAAGGCTGAATTGTGATTTCTGATGATCCTTGTGTCTCTTCTTCCTCTTTTTTATTTTTATTTTTTGAACTACCAGGGATTGAACTCAGTGCCTTGAACTTGGATCTTTGTGGCTTCTGGGAGGTAGAACTGCAATTGAAACAAAAGACTCTCAGGGGTTTTGGGAAGCATAGTACGTATCTTTCCTTTGTGGATCCTACCTGTAGGTTTGTGTTTTGGAAGCTGTTTCAAAGAAAGCCTTCAGGTTAGAGTGGAGGATAACATCCTGGAAAAAGAACAATTCCATAGGTGAAATGATTTTTCTGAATGCCAAGAAAAGTTGCCAGAGGGAAATACAAGGCTGAGACCAGACTCAAGCCTGTCCATGGGGCAAGGAGAGGTGGCACATATGTGTTGAGCCTTTTTGGCTCTGGTGATATGAGAGGTCTACTTGTAACTTTGGGGATCTTTTTATAGAAAGAGTCATTCTCTCTGTTGCCTTATAGTATTCCTTCATCACCTGAAAGTTTGATCCTTTGTGAAACCTTGGTGGGAGAGCACCAATAAGAGGTAGAATGGGTATGGGATAAGATGCCCCTACCCACTGCAGTATCCATAATACTATTACCTCATGGTAAGTGGAAAACAGAAGAGACATCAGGGAGAGTAAAGATAATAACAGAAATGCATAATGATTTACACATTACAAAGCATTCTAATTACTGATTGAATTGGACTTCAGTTGTATTACAGTGCTATTTTATATTTGAGTAAACAAAGTTAATAGAGATTACATGATTTACCCAAGACCACTTAGCTAGAAATTGAACAGTGATTCAAGCATTCATTTGTTTGATTCCAAATTATTACTTCCATTTTCCTTTATCATGGAAACCTCCAATCATCTCCATCATTCTTACCCATATTGATTCCAGCTTGCCTGTATGCCCAGCAACTTCTATGCATAGTTAGTAACCCCTTGTAGCTCAACTGTAGAAACCCACAGGGTTAGTGTTCAGTTACTACATAATGTTGAAAATTAAAAGGGGAAATAAGGGCCAGAACCTATCATCTTGTTTTGTCGCAGTCAGTGGCTTTCTGGAACGTTTTACTGGAAAATGTAAGAAACACAGTAGAGGTGGAGGGGGCTTTGCATTCCTAGTTATTCAGGTGTTACTTGAGTATTTAAACCATTGCAGAATCAATGTACTTAGCAACAGCAGAACCCTTTTGGCCTTTTGTTAACATGGAGGTTAATAAAAAACAAGTCCACTCTGGGGACTCAAGTCAATTAATGGTTATAACTTACATACAATTGAGAGGTCTTTAACTTGAGCCCAGTTATAAATCTAAGAAGGAGTGGTAGTAGGTAGGACAGGATGCATTTTTTAAGTGTGTATTTCTGCTTCACATCAAGGACTGGAAGTTTAGAACCTGCATTTTTCAGAAGGGGATGTATTTTTGTGCTGGGTTTGCTCTAAGTGTGGATGTAAGGAAATACTTTTTTCAGTTAAGTGTCACTGCCATGCATTCAGTTGCTCAAGTCAACATCAGTGAGTCTTATTTGCTTTCTCTTCAAAATATGTTTAATATATTTATTTGTTTCCATCTTCATTGTCACCACCCCAGTTTAAAACACAGCCATTTGTTACTTGGACTACCATAGTTTCTTCCTGCTTATTTTCTTTAGACTCTCTCTAGCCCTTTAAATTGATATTCTGCATAGAAAAGTGATGTTTCAAAATATAAATTAAGCTACCAGTTTGGACAATGTCATAGATTTATCTCTCCTTTAAGATAAATAGACTCTGGAAATAATGAAAGAGGCAGAAATTGAAGAGGAAGGCAGAGTAGATAGGAACAACAGGGGTAAAAATATAATATGGAAATTTGGTATCATGACCCTCCACCCAGAAACAGCCAAGTCACAGCATACTTAAATTCTAAAAACTAGTCAGAAAAAAGACAATTGAAAACAGCCAAAGAGGACAACTTACTGCATAATGGGAAATAATTTGAAAGTAATGAAAATTGAGCAGAAATCAATGAAAGTGAAAACAGGAAACCAATAAAGAAATCCTGATGGGTTGTGTCAGCAACTTGCCCAGGTTAATATCGAAACACTTCTCATTAAATCATTTCATGGCACTCCTAGATTTCTCATATGAATGGGGAATGAGAGAACAAAGCTGTGATTCCCAAGCTATGGAGAAAAATGACTTTAATATAAATTTCAAGTGTACATTTGCTATTTACATAAATAAGTATTCTCCCTCTTCAAAGAGTTAAGGAAAAAAGCACCATAAAGAAGTTGGTCTTTTCTGAGATGATCCAGTTTCACTCCCAAAACTGTCTATGCCAATACTATAATATTGTACTATAATACTATAATAATTTACTATAATATTATTGTTCCTGCCCTAGAGACCCTAGACTCTAGAGACCCACTTTCAGTCTATTGAAAGTGTATTCCTTTCCTAATAAATTTTGTGCTCACTTTCACTAAAATAAAAATAAGAAGTAAAACCATAGACTGGCAGAATTTATCAAATTATGCAAAGAATCCTTAAAACTCAACAATAAAAGAAAAAATTTTAAATGGGCAAAAAGAATTGAATAGACACTCCATCATAGAAGTTACACAGATGTTAAATAAGCATAGGACACCACATTTATTAAGGAATTTCAAGTTAACATAACAAATAGCACATAACATACCTTTGACCAGAAATAAAAAAAATATGAAGAACACCAAGTGGTGCTAACCAGGTGCAACAGCAGGAACTCTCATTTATTGCTTGTGGGAATGCAAAACGGTACAGACACTTGTTAACAAAACTAAGCATGCTAGTACCATATGGTCCAGAAACTGCACTCCTTGGTATTTCTCCAAATGAATTGATAATTTATGTTCATGCAAAAAACTGCACATGGGCTTATAGGAGTTTTATTCATAATTTCCAAAACCTGAATGCAACCAAGATATTCTTTAGTTGGTTAATGGGTGGCACGTCAAGCGAGAGCACACAAGGGAGGGGTGAGGATAGGTAAGACACCTAAAAAACTAGCTAGCATTTGTTGCCCTTAATGCAGAGAAACTAAAGCAGATACCTTAAAGCAACTGAGGCCAATAGGAAAAGGGGACCAGGAACTAGAGAAAAGGTTAGATCAAAAAGAATTAACCTAGAAGGTAACACCCATGCACAGGAAATCAATGTGAGTCAATGCCCTGTATAGCTATCCTTATCTCAACCAGCAAAACCCCTTGTTCCTTCCTATTATTGCTTATACTCTCTCTACAACAAAATTAGAGATAAGGGCAAAATAGTTTCTGCTGGGTATTGAGGGGGGGAGAGGGAGGGGGTGGAGTGGGTGGTAAGGGCAGGGGGCAGGGGGGAGAAATGAACCAAGCCTTGTATGCACATATGAATAATAAAAGAAAAATGAAAAAAAAAAGAATAAAAATCAGTTAACTATAAAAAAAAAAAAGAAAATGCAATATTATTCAATGCAAAAAAGAAATGAGCTATCAAAGCATAAAAAGACTTGGAGAAACGAATATTACTAAGTCAAAGAAACCAATCTGAAAAGGCTACATATGACTCCAATTATTCTGAAAAAGGCAAAACTATGGAGTCGGTGAAAAGATCAGTGGTTACCAGATGTTAGTAGGGAAGTAGAAAAATAGACAGAACACAGAGGACTTTTAAGTTATTAAAACTATTCTGTAAGATACTATAACTGTGGATGTATGTCATTGTAACTATATAAACCTACAGACGCTACATCAGGAATGAACCCTAGGCTCAATAGTAAGATAATAGAAGCTTCCTCTGTGTGAGTGAGAATGAGAAGAGTCAGGGAAACAAAGGACAAGATTTATTCCAAAGAGAAAGACAGGAAGAGTATCAGGAATCACAAAAGAGGCAACAGGAGAGATGAAAAGGCTCGGAGAAACAGAAATGTCACCCAGAAAGAAGTAGGAAAACAGCCCGCAGCACCAATCTCTATTCAGTGAGGGGGTGAAGGGAGCTGAAGACTCAACCACATGGTAAGCCAGGCAGGCCCTGCAAAAGGTAGTCCTGGTCTCAGGACTACCAAGAACTGAATGCAAGAACTGACAGTTCTTGCAAGTCTTAAATCCAGTGCAGGGATTTGGTGCTACAGTGACTCCAGCATGACAGGCCAGCATTAGGGAAGAAATCTATTTTTTTCACTCCTCCCATCTCAAAGAGCTATAGCTGTGTGCCATGTTGAAAGGAGGCCTATTATCTGAGACTGAGCTACTCTGGGGACTTAAAAATAATGAACAATTGCAAGTCAAGGATATTAAGGACTCCTGCTCTTTCTCTCTCTCTCTCTCTCTCCTGCTCTCTCTCTCTGTCTCTCTCTCTCTATCTCTGTCTCTCTCTCTCTCACACACACACACACATACACACATTCACACAATGTTTGGGTGGGATACAGTCAGGAGCAGTTAGTCATAAGGAGCAGGAGGTTCCAACTTGTACCTGTTGAGAAATCTGGGCAGCTAGGATGGCAGATGTGAGCCACTTGTGCCCAGCTGATGTACACTCTTATTTAAAAGAGATCAGTGAACGAGGAGAAATCCCCATTCTAGCTTGATTCCTCATTCCTTTGGATATAAGATATAGGATGAAGGAAACTTTCTC